AGACCGCGCCGCTGGCGAGGTACGCACGAGGGCAGAGAGGCTGGTACACGAGCGAAGCGCAGCACGAGATCTCCGAAGCGTCTAACGAGATTAATACGGCCCAGCAGCAACTGCGTGGGGCCTCAAAGAACAGCGCCCTTCGAGGCGACCCTGAAGGCGATGCTCAAGGCGGCGCGGAAGAAGCGCAGCATCGCGAGGTGGAGAGCACTGGAACCGTTCGTCGAGGGCTATGTACGGCAGCTCGAGAAGAAGAGCCGCGAGGGGGATCAGGCGGGTTTCTACAGGCACCTGAAGATGATCGACGTCGAAGGTAAGAGGTCGTTCACCTCTCAGAACATCAAGGACGAGGACGGCAAGGTCCTTCGGGACCCGATGTTTATTCGCCAACGGTGGGCACGGTGGTTCCACAAGCTTCTCAACACCAAGTCGCCGACCATCGACCTGCATGCGGCTGACAAGGTCAAGCGGTGGCCCACGTGCGTGCCACTCGACGACATCCCATCTCTACTTGAGGTTGAGGAAGCGGTACGGGAAATGGCCAACAGAAAGGCCGTCGGGCCGGACGACCTACCGGCTGAGCTGATCAAGCTTTTCCTGGACGGAGATCAGGGTCTCCTCCGCGAGTTCTACGCCACTGTGGTGGACGTGTGGCAGACGGGGGACGTCCCATAGCCGTGGAAGGATGCCACCATCAATGTGCTGTTCAAGAAGGGGGACACGATGGAGTACGGAAACTACCGGGGCATCTCTCAGGTCGCACACGCCGGCAAGGTGCTGATCAAGGTCGTCGCTACACGACTGAGCCACTACTGCGAGCGAGAGGGCATCCTCCCGGAGGAGCAGAGCGGTTTCCGTCCACACCGGTCGACGCTCGACATGCTGTTCGCCATCCAGCGGCTCCATGAGCTCGCGAGAAAGAAGAGCACTGCACTGTTCGCGTGCTTCGTCGACCTCACCAAGGCATACGATTCGGTGGACCGAGACCTACTGTGGGACGTGCTCCGACGCTTCGGCGTGCCCCCGAAGATGCTGGCGGTCATTCGCCACTTCCACGAGGGCATGAGGGCGCGCGTCCGAACGGACGACGGGCAGTACTCGGAATGATTCGATGTGGGCCAAGGCCTCCGACAGGGATGCAACCTGGCCCCGCTGCTGTTCAACTTTTCTTTGCCGCGATGCTCATGGTCGCCGTGGCCGAGTTCATTAAGGACCCCAAGATGACGGCGGACATGGTCAAGATCGGGGCAAAAGTGGAGTACACAGGCAAGACGGGCAGGTCGGCGGGGAAGAAGACGACGGTGGTGACGGACGCGGAGGCC